TTGAGTGTGTTCTGCTCATATGTGTGTGTGCAGGTGTATCTGTGTGTTTGTGTCTGCGAGTCTGTAGTGTGTGTGTTTGTGAGAGTGTGTATGAATATGAGGGTGTGTCTCTGTAAGTGTGTAGAACGGGTCTCTGCGAGTGTGCAAGTGTGTGTGTGTGTCTGTATAAGCATTTGTGTATCTCTGCTACTGTGTGTGTGTGTGTATGTTTGTGTTCATGTGTATGTGTGTGTGTGTGTGTGTGTGTTCATCTCCTTCGCTGTGTAAATGCATTACTCTGTCTTTACTGGAATAATAATACAGAGGTGTGTTAATGTGTTCATCGTTTAATGATCTCAAAATGATTACATTATAAATACTGTGTCTGAAGGTCTCTCTCTGTGTGTGTGTGTGTGTGTGTGTGTGTGCAGCAGGTGGTCAAAGCAGATATCGTGAACTACAGTCAAGAGTCTGTGGCTCGAGCCGTCAACCCTCCGCGCAGCTCCATGTGTGTCATCCAGTGATCCAGCCAGCCGGCCGTCTGAGATCTGTGTGTGTGTGTGTGTGTGTGTGTGTGTGTGTGTTGATCATGTAATCTCAGCACTTCTTCATGTTGAATCATGACTCAGTTGACAGTATTTCTGCATTGAGAGTGAGTATCTCTGATGTGACGGCACACATCCTCCTGGCGTTCCCCTGCGCTTCTGAACTGGCTATTCTTGTTAAAGCCCCCCTGAAATGAAAATATAGAGGAATCAATACAGAGATTCTGCTGTTTATAACCATGAAGTAACCGTAAATATTCATATGTAATCCTCCATGTGATGATGAATTCACTCGTGCTGCAGCAGGGTGAAGAGGTTACGGGAACGTTCTGGCAATGTTGATCAGAGGTTGTGGAAACATTCTATTTCTGTAAAGGAAACCTCCCTGGCCAACTGAAGGAAGAGGGCATGTTTGGGGAGCCAAAGCTGGTTAATGCTGCCGCTGCATGTTCATGACAGATATGTGATGTTCATGAGCTTCACACTGGAGCAGTAATCTGCTGTCACACAGAGCCGAGCTGTGCTGAGTGTGTGCAGGCGGCCTGTAAACACCGTCTGACTGATTTGTTGATGTGTGTGTGTGTGTGTGTGTGTGTGTGTGTTTTCATTTCCGCAGGACGCCCGGACCCCTCTGCTTATAGCGGTGTGATGATATGACCTCTGAATATTTCTATTGAAATGCTGAATGTGTTTGTAAGCTCCAGGTGTTGTAGAGCGTCTTTTAGGAATAAATGTCAGTCTCCGACACGCGCGTCTGCGTTCTCTCCTTCCCCTCTCCATCTTCATTCCACTGGAAAAGTAAAAAAATTTCTTTTCCAAATCCCACGCTCAGAAGATGTATGAATGCGGCGCAGGATGTAGACATGTGGTCAGGAATATTGTCCAATATTAATATCATTCAAACGTCTGCCGGTAATTTACTGTAACGTGATGCCGCTGAGTAATTGCGCTTGAAATAGTCTCCTCTTGACAGCACTTACACACGAGCTGTTCAGGGCGAGTCCAGCGCTCATCACTTCAGCTGATGTGGAATTATACGCTTATTATTATTATTATCACACACGGCGTGACGATTCATTTACTGCGCATGCGCAGCCGCTCAGAGAGAGAGAGATATTAACTGCAGTGCACTATACTACACTTTTCACACTATAATGAGGAACAGTCGTGATTAAATTAGACTGTAGTTACTAGAATGAGTCGAGTGTATTATACAACGCTTAACCAATTCTCTGAACTCTAACAAATACTGTAGGATGTTTTAAGTTTTGTAGTATAATATACCTAAAGTATTGGGTCGCATGTTTATACTACTATAGTTGTTGTGTTACCATAGCAACTGTGGAATCAGCACAACAGAATAAATACTATAGTTATTGTTACCATAGTAACTGTGGGATCACCAAAGCAGAACAATTACTATAGTTGTTGTGCTACCATAGCAACTGTAGAATCATGCAACAGATAAATTACGATAATTGTTGTTACCATAGCAACTGTAGAACCACCACAACAGATCAATTACTAAAGTTGTATTGTTACCATAGCAACTATAAAATACTACAACAGATTATTTACTATGATTGTTGTGATACCATAGCAACTGTAGAATCACTGCAACAGATGATTCACGATAACGGTTGTGTTTCCATAGAAACTGTAGAACTAAAACAACAGATCAATTACTATAGTAGTTGTTACCATAGCAACTGCAGAATCACCACAACAGATCAATTCAAGTACTTTACTATAGTATGGTTCTAATACACTACAGTAT